TGAACTGTGTGGTTGGTGGCTAAGACGGCGAAGTTTGCAGTCAAGAGTCTGATTTCAACAGATGGTTTCCTGCCAAACTGAGATGGAGATTTCAGAGGCCAGGCATGATGATGATGATGATGATGGTGGTGGTACAAGGCACAGCCCTTCATTTTTCCTGATAGCACTAGTTATATTTGAAATGTGTATTATCAGTAACACTATATCAGTGCAGAAACGGGAAGTTTGCTGTTTTGGAATACCTTGAACTGAGCACTATCAAGTAAACAAAGCTATACATCCTACCAAGCATCTGACAGCCAACTTCTGGTATGTGACTTCTTGCTTGTCGCGCAAAGGATTGCAGTTCCCAACTCTCATTTCTGGTCAGCAAAAAGAGATATGAACTGGACTCTTACCAGTGTTGGAGTCACTAATACTGTTACATCAACCTTGATTCAGTTGAAACTGGCCCTCAGTATGTGATGTCACGAGTCCAACTTGGCTAATAAACATATATTGAGCACAGCGATCACAGGCTGTAGACAATATTCTGGTCATGTGTTCTTCTTGTGCAACACAGGGTGGTGACACACTGCCATTTCCAGACTTAAGATGCACAAAGGACGGTGCTGTTTGTATTGGTTGCCTTGCTAATCCACTGGTTAAACTGGGACAAGGTGACCTGCGTCAGCCTCTCACTGCAGCAGTTCAGCTGCACTGCTGACCTTCTCCCATGACAGCAGCTTCTGTTAGACAGAGATTCCTTTATATTGGTGTTAAGATGGAACTTCTTTATTGTGGATTTGCCCCTTTACACTGAACTAAAATCCCAGTGTATTTTTAACACAGATACCAGCATCCCGGTGTTTAATGTGACGCCCAGTGTAACGTGTACCTATGAATATAACACACACCGTAGAAACGTGCTGGTAATATTGATGCTTTCGAATCAACAGTGGTGACAAACAGAGTAGGGACATGCTTTGCTTCTCCTGCACATTTATACAGTCACAGATTCTGTTTCTTGTGAACGGCGCTATATCAACACATCATCAGAACTTCACACACCTCCACCCACAGCCCACAGAGTAAAGGATGATCAGTGCTGACCCCCGTGCCAGGTTGGTAGCTTTTATATAGAACAACGCGGTGATGAATCTGTGCTGGAAAGGGGCTTTGGTTTCACTTGTCACTTCATCCGTTGCATCCATAGGGTGCTACGTCACAGCTCAGAGTTTTTCATTCAGTTTAAACATACGTACAGATAGAAACTAAACAAAGAGGGAGCATACAAACTTCCACACATTTTTTATTTCCTGTTTTGTGGTATCTGCCTTTGACAGGCTCATATCAGATGGGGGATACACATTTTGCAGCAGGTTTAGCTGAACAGAAACTTACTGTACCTCAGAGAGGCTTCAGGGATTCGTGACGAGACCAGTTGGTGTTTCCTTTATGTCAGCTATGAAATGTTCTCCATTACAAACCTTACTCAATATAATTATGAAGCAAGTGAATTATTTAATGTAATTATGGAGCGAGTCGCCCTGTAATAATTACATTCAGCACCATGATAAATGATGTCTCATTGCTGTAGGTAATTAGTCTGAAAATGTTTCCAGTTATGGCTTCAGAGCCAAAATTGGATGTGAGTAATGTACAGGGCTGCTCACATGAGAAAGAGCTGTTTGTCCTCCTGTTACAGACGCAGTGAAAGTGAACTGTAGCTTTCATCTGCTGAGCTGCATGTAAACCACCTGAAGTTAAAAATAAAAAGACTGCTCATTGAACCAGGTTTTCAGCTCTGACCCAATAAAATCAAACTAAACAGTGTCAGAGACCGAATCAGCCTGTACTTGTTCCTTGTGTGTGTGTGTGTGTGTGTGTGTGTGTGTGTGCTGAATGTGTCTGCTTTTGTGTGTAATTGGGACAGTGTGATTAAGCACCGTGGAGCCTGTATGAAATGTGGGTCCCTGTTCTCTAAAAGGCTGAACTATGCCACTGCTGCTGTGAGCGTTCCTGTGTAATAAGATCACCCAGAAAAGACATTTTCAAGAGGTCCAGTGTTGGATGTAAACACAACTCTCTTCTTGCACTTCATGGCCCCTGGTGTGCTTTGGCCTGGGGTGTGTTAGGCACTGCAGTTTCAGTTCATCAAATCTTAATACTGACGCATATACTCGTTTCCTTCCAACTTTGTTGCTGCTGTTTGGGGAAGACTGTTTCCTCTTTGCATATGACAATGTCTCATGCACAGGGCACATCCTTAAAGGAATGGTTTTCCCAGGTTGTTGTAAAAGAACTTGACTTCCACTCTAAACTTGACTGGCCTGCTCAGACGCCTGACCT